TTTTTTTTTTTTTCAAGCAGAAGACGGCATACGAGATGATCTGGTGACTGGAGTTCAGACGTGTGCTCTTCCGATCTAATATATATATATATATATATATATATATATATATATATATATATATATATTATATTTAGGACACATAAATGCCTTGAGATACAGGTTACCTATTGCAACATTTAGTTTTAAAATAGGCACATGACCTATAAATGATCCCATAGAATAGACTAAATATATGATAAGCAAAACTCAATGCCCTGATATGCTTAATAATTTATATTAGTTGAATGCTGAAATGAAACATTTTTTTTTTGGTCAGAAAAATGGAACAATGTCAATATGCTTTTTAACAAAATATGATCTAATCATAGACTAAGTTTTCAATAAAGGAAATAGTAAATGTAATAAGTGTCCATCAACCAAAAAAATGCTTCAAAGGGTTCATTTAGCGTTGTACACACAAGAGTGAAAGAAGTATAAAAATAAAAAGCCTAAAGTCTTAAAGATGACATGCGACAGTAGAAGAGACTAAATTAGGGTTTGAAAATGCCTAGCACATTATGAATGACAAAGGAACATCATATGTGACTGTCATTTCTTCTAATCTTGTGCGAATTATGGTTTATTCTAACAAACCAATTGTCGAATGTCCTTAACTGCGATTGTTGCCTTTGGGCCTATTGTAACAAAGAGATAGCATATTACAATTACAGAAATTAACCTACAAAATGTATCATAACAAAGTATAATCCCCATACCAAAAAAATGAGATGAAAGCATTTGAAGGAACAAGATGTTCATCACTAAACCTAACATGCCTCTTTTCAAGCATTTAGGAAGTTATAAAGATCCTCATTTTCGCATGATATGATGGTATTTTATCAAACAAAATAGTACCTTTAGAAAAACAAAAACCACAATTGGAAGAGAGGTCTAAAAGTTGATTTTTGTCAAAACAAAACATTATTTTTAGAAATATTCAAACTCGTATGACCTCTGTGTGTATGTTTATGTATTCATGGTTTGATGTCAAACAAAATTGTACCATTCAAGAAATAGAAGAAACACAATTAGAGAGCTAAATAAGCTTTGGGTACAGGGAAATCCCATGGCCTGTCTTCAACGAGTAGAAGCGCGCTTATGTTGTTCAGGCTCGTGACTCTAACTAGAACCAATGACAAAGTCCGGGTGTATAAACCTGTCCCTCAACTCATACACCATTTAAATAAGGACTTGTGCTTCGTTGGGGACTCAAGACCTACATCAGAGACTTGAATACGGTTCGTCCAAACAACTGATGTCTTGTCCTACCAAGCAGCCACGCTTTTTTGCGTCCAGGGGACTTTGAATCCCTGACCTCCCATTGGGAATTCAAGAACCTTGCCAACTAGGCTTACCCAGTTGGTTAGAGCTAAATAAGTTGATAAGTGTTAAGAAAGTAATTTTCAAAAAAACACAAAGTAAGCACTCAAAACACAAAAAATATCAAAAATCAAGAAATTACATAAATAGTAGAAAATAAGGAATTATTAAGCTTTACACAAGAACCATCTCATAATAGAGATGAAAGTAAATTATTGCAAATAAATCAACCTTTATCAGTTAAGAAAAAATAGAGCTAAATGAAACTCGAGAACCATATATCAGTTTTCTCTACGAAGAATAAAGGAATAGTAAGGGAAAGCAAGATCAAGAGAATTGGAAAAAAAAAAAAAAAAAAACCTTGCCAACATTCTTTTAGAATTACCTAAATTACATGGATTCATTTCTACCTCTTCACAATATATCAACTCACAAATCAATAGTTGCCTCTATGATTAGAAAAATTCAACCAATCTAGTCCAACTGAATTAATTCTAAATTTGATTTAAAAAAATATTCCTTTCTTGATCTTATTTTCATGTTGATTGAACTTTCTCTCAACACAAGGGTCGGTATAAATTCTTGAAAGCTCATTTTAATGCTAGATATTTTTATTTTTTTTTGGCTGAAGTTGGGGTAGTACTATTCTACTCTCTATTAGTCCTATGTTGTTACTCGGTCAAATTAAAATTTGAACATACTTTATATATTTTTAGCATGTTTTAACACTACTAACATCTTTATTTACCTCAAAAGTTTAAAAGAAAAAAGTGATTTCAATGAAGTGCCTCGTCAAAATCTAAGGTATTAAGACAACAACACCCTCAGTATGACAACATATGTTGTCTTATAATAATAAAGCACTAACCTAGAATAATATGGCAAAATAAAAGTACTACCAAGTCATTCTAAGAGAAGGCATGGACCTAAAGCAAATGACTCTCTTATCAACCAAGAGTATGATAAGCATGCTTGGGCAAGATGGAGCAATGATATTAAGCATTAGAATATACAATGATAATGTGATATTTTAGTATGTTGGTCATATAACTTGAGATGATTTATTAAAATTCTTTCTTGATGATGAGAACATGCAAATGAATTTTTTTAATTTTTTAATTTTCATGTGGAAAAAGACATTTTCTAATTTCAATAGATGACGTTTTAGACAATCCAATTTAATGTTTAGGTCATATACATTATATACTTTCAAGTTGCACGTTATGATGGAAGTAAAATAAGAAACATTAATTTTATTTTTTGGGAAACATTCAAACAGTACTAATCTCATTAACCAGGCGTGTCACATGTAGTGGAAGGAACAAGTTTCAGAATATATAACATAAAAAACTACTTATTTACAAAAAACTCTATAACAAAAGTTTCAAGAATGTCAATTGAGATCAAACTCCAACCGTATATCAAATGCAAACATGCGTTCTTGCTAACGATGCAAGCTAATCAGATATAAGGTTTGGAGAGTTCATTTGTTAGTACCTCAATGAACAACTATTTCTTAGAGTTTACAACTTCGTCATATTAGTTCAATTTATGCTAGAGTTCTTCCAACTTTGTGGTTCTACACTTGATCATAGAGGTTACATCTTCAGCAAATAAAAATTAAAGATTTGGGAAATCTCCCCTTCCCCCCCCCCCCCCTATTCTTTTTTAAGAAAAAAATTATATTGAATGAATTAAAGAATTACAAGAAACAAAGGGATAAAATCCCAATTTACACCACCACCAAATGGATTTAATCCTTCAAAACATGACAACATGTCAAGAACTTTTCCTTCAATAACACATCAACCAACATATCAGTAACCAGAAGCAAGGTTCTAACAGAATTAGCATATAGCCGCAAGCTAGGAACCCATCATTATCATCCATAGTCACAAAAGGTTTGAGAAATTCCTAAGTGACCACATTTTAGATATACCCATTTAGACCCTATGCCCCTTGCATCAATAGAAACAAAATATGTCCTATTTTGGGTCAAGGAGAATAAGAAGAAGATATCATGGCATTCAATGACAAGTCACAAGGTCTTCACCATAAAAATAGTAAACTGAATTAGATAATTATGCATAATAAACAAGTGGTATACTCACAGAATCAACAAACAACAAATATCAAGTCTATATATCAAAAAGAGTAGAAATAAATAAATTAAACACCTGGTTTAGGCATACATATCTCCACCACTTGCTCTGAAATACCTTAGTTCATCCATAATCACAGGAGAAGAAGGCTTTAGATTAGTTGCTCCAAAAGCATTTTCTTATTCGGTGCTCCCAATAGAAATGCTTCGAACCCAAAAAGACGGGCATGGATCCAACTCTTGGTAATCTTAAAAAGCAACTCCAATACTCTTAACTACATAACCATCTGAAAATAATTAAAGGAAAATATTAGTCCAGATTTGAAAAATGGTTCAGAATGCACACTTCATCTGATGCATGCTATCACCTCAAATGCTATTAAATTTGAAACACAATTGTGGGATACAAGTAGTCATTCATGTGCGAAGATATCACTCTGAATTTCCAGCCTTCAAGCATCATCTGCAAGAATACACTTACCATGTTTGAAGGCAACATGATATTAAAACCACCACATCCACAAAATTACAATCTCATGTAATTAGAATCTCCCACTGGAAGCCACAAAATAACAACCTTACATAATGAGTAAATTTTTGGTTAAATATGAATTAAACATCTACTTGTGATGGATCGAACTAAAAAACAGAGTGCTTGAATTTGCTTCGTATAATAGAACTGAACCAACATTTAAACAAGTGTGATCAACGAGACCTCTATTTTTACTGCCACTATATCTTCAAAATGAAAATTTAAGTAATTAGAATAAAAATCGCAATGAAGAATGTTGAAAACCAATATATACACACATCAACTCCCAAATCCAAGAACAAAAATTAGACAAAAATAACAAGAAATATTTGCCACGAAAACAACAGGGGAATGACAGATTGATATCTAAAAAAATTATCTAAAGTAGAACTAATCAGATTTTATACATTCAAGCTATGTAATAGCACCGTCTAATCTTACAGTTTCATTGCCACCAACCACCAACTTAATAAAAAAGGACACCGATACCACCAAGTATAAGATAAATTAAAACAAGAAATATTTAAATCAGTATACTAAAAAGAACAACATGACCAAGTATACAAAAACTTAAAATAAGAAGCAGCATATAAGAAAATCTAGAGAATTACATCATTATTAGAGGTTTTAGTATAGTATAACCCAAAGCAATGTATCGTCTATTAACACATAAAATCCACATTAAAAACATTGTTTTAATCTAATATTAATCAAATAGACAAAACAAATAAACCAGAAACAAGAGAAAGACAGTCAACAACCAATGCAATTAAAACCCAAGAACAAGAAGCCATCAAGAACGTAATGATTGTTTGTTTCACAAAGAATAAGTGAAGTAAGAGAGACCTTGGAAAAGAAGTCCTTGAGCGGCTCCCTAAATTTCTTTGAGACGTCACCAGCACCATTGGAAGAGAAGCAAGAGGATTAGCTCCATCTATGTCTTCTTTTGCACTTTCAGTTTCATGGGAAGGCAAATACGAAAGAGAAAAAGAGGGGTAAGAAGAGAGAGAGACCCTAGAGAGGAGGACTTAATGGAATCTGAAACGTAGAAGATCGAAGATCTGTAGGACTAGTGGGGTCTGGCTCCTCTGCGGTAAGGAGGTAACCGCTTGACATGTATTTAAGTGGAACAACGTCGTTTCACTGTTTTTTGCAATTTGTTTTTAATGACTCTTACCAAAATGACGTCGTTTTGGTCTGGCTAATTCCAGTTTTAAAGATCTGCACCCTTCTTCTAGCAGCTCTGGCGATTGCTAAGTTCCCAGTGGGTAGGATTGCTAGGTTCTTGAAGGCTGGCAAGTATGCCAAGTGTGTCGGTGTCGGAGCTCCAGTCTACCTCTTTATCGTCCTTGAATACCTCACTGCTGAGGTATAAACTACTTCCCATTTCATCCCATTTTCTTGTTTTCATTCCGACATGTGTATGCACTCGTCAATCATTATTGGGGGATTGATATGGTTGATTGTAATTTCTTATTAATTTGTTGTTTTTCGAGACGGGTTCATTTTCTTGGAGACGTTTGAAGTTCTCCATCCTTCAATTTCATTTTTTAGATAAATTTTTGAGCTTTTAAGATTTTTCTGTCTTAAGTTTCATATTACTGAATGGTGATGGATTTAATTTATGTTTTTATTGTATTTTTTTCCAATTTCATCACATTTTAAGTTTTTTAGATGATATTTTAAGCTTGTTTTTCTGTTTGAAGGTTCATAATTGTGAATTGTAATGGTGTTAATTGTTTTTGTAATATTGGGACATTTGTTTGATTTGGTCTGAATATGATTTGTATTTATCAATTACTATGGGAGTTTGGGTGCCAAACAAATTGAGATACATTTTATTTATCACTATCAAGCTATTTTTGCATCTAAATGCTTTGTGTTACATTCTTGCACTCAAATGTTATGGTATATTTGGTGATTTGTTTCATTTTATTATTTTGATGTTGTATGCATATGGGACTGGATTATATTTTTGTCACCTATGGAGATATATGGAACTGGATGCATAGAAATGAGGGGTTTTATGTTTGGGTTTTTGGGCTTGTAATTTGATTATGGTGATTATTGAATACAGGTATTGGAGTTGACTGGGAATGCAGCAAGGGATAACAAGAAGAATCGAATAGTGCCATGGCACATTCAGCTTGCAGTGAGGAATGATGAGGAGCTTAATAGGCTTTTGTGTGGATTCCATTTTCCAAATTAGTTGCCTTAGGAAATTTGTAATTTGTCTAGGTGAGAAAATGCTATTGTTTAGTGCCAAAGTTTGGTTATTATTGTAATTAACATTGAAATTTTTTTTTGGAAATTTGATATGTATGGTTAATTTGGAACTTCAGAAATTGCAGCAGCCCTTTAATTCATTAAGCACAAACAATATATTCTTCTTCTTTTTTTTTTTTTAAGAAAAATAAATTTTATTCCATGAAACAATGAATTACAAGAAGCAAATGAATTCAAAAATTCTAATTACAAAGAGTTGGCTTTAATCCTTCAAAAGGATTAAAACCAGAAATTTATCAAGCACAATCCAGCTGCCCAGCCAACAAAACGGCCCATGGCCCAACACACTATTGCTCAGCTCCTCCAGTTGACAGAACCCAAAACCTAGACCTGCTATTCCTCCAGTTGCTGAGTGAGCTTCTCTTTACTATGCTCTGTACCCCATAGCTCAGCTCCTGCTCTTTTGCTCACAGCTTAGCTCTCAGTAGCAATCTACCAGAATAGCAGATAGCTACTAAAACAGAATAGACCAGCAAATCAAACCAGCAACCAAGCATAAAGTCCACAACAACCCTCCAGCATCAGTACCCCCAGCTATCTTCAAATAAACATTGCTAGCATAGAAAATGCATCTGATAATTGAGGTTCAATGCATCCCACTCCAAAGGAAATAGAAAAAAAAAAAAAAAAAGAACTTCATAGAAAAAAGCATGAACTTAATATCCACATTGTTGATGTTATGTTTATTTCACAACTCAAGTGAAGAAAGTCGCATATAGTCCTCATCATGCCCAAATCAAGCACACAACATCAATCAATTAGAATCCATACAACAAAAAGGTCATTCAAAATCAACAGATAAACACTCCAATGCCACAGCAGCTCATCATTGCATTGTCCAAAACAAAGTTTAGACCAGCCGACTACCATTGTTTTTGAAATTCCAAATGATCTAATCTCCTAGCAAGAAAAAGAAGAATATTTCAACTATGAGAAAGTAGTAGGGTAATCTGTGCTGAAAGGTACAATGCAATTAAAAAAAAAAAGAGTAGCTTCTCTGACAAAATCCTGACTAGTGCATTTAAAATCAATAGCATAAAAACAGCACAACAGAAGCATTGTGCAGCATTAATCTATTGAATTCAATTTTCGTCCTAACTAGTGCATTCAAAATCAATAACCCAAAATAAGTCCATTTTCGCAAAATCAAAATCAATAACCCAAAATCAAAATCAATAACCGTAGAGGAGCCAAATCTCAAATAATCAACCCAAATGGATCTTTCCTTCTCTCGTTGTGTGCTGAGGAGTACCCACCACAAACCAAATCTCATATTGCATTCAGTCCATAAAATCTAAAATTAGGTCCATTTTTGCAAAATCAATAACCCAAAATATTAGCAACCAAATCTCATATTGCATTTAGTCCACAAAATCTAACATTAGGTCTATTTTCGCAAAATCAATAACCCAAAATAGCAACATAAACCTGGGTACTCCTCAACGATTAGCGAGAGAGGGAAAGAAGACAGTAGCTTTTTTGTCGTCAGAGGTAGGAGGAGAGATAGGAGCACCTGAGTCTGACGAAGTCTAACGAAGAAGAAGGATTTCAGATCTGGTTTTTAACTGGAACTGGACCAAAACGACGTCGTTTTGGTAAGGATCAATAAAAAAAAATTTGCAAAATCCAGTGAAACTGTGCCGTTTTATTAAACCATATGATATGCGGTAACCTCCCAACTGTTGACAAGCTCCACCCTAACTTGTAACGGTAGAAAAAACGGGAAACAAATGTATTAATTTGGGTTTAGTGAATCATTATTATGAAGGATAAGAAAGACATACTTCTATTTTTTGAGGGTAAAAGAGAAAAAAAAATATATTTCACATATATTTTAAAGTAAGTATAAATAATGTTATACATTAGAGTAATGCTACACTGAACAAAATTTGGGATCAAATTTAGAGTCCAAATGATATGACAGTTGATTATTTGAAATTTTTATTGGGACTCAAATGACATGACACCAATCAAAAAAGTCTAAATTATTTAAAATTTTTATTGGGACTCAAATGATATGACACCAATCAAAGAAACTCAAATCAATTGCCATGTTATTTGAGCTCAAAATTTGATCTCAAATTTTGATCAATTTAGCATTATTATTGTATACATTAACATGTATAACTCATTCAACACGTAAATAAAAACATTAATTGATCCTATTCTAATCCGATCGGATCGGCCCACCCACCCGTAACCTCTGTAAACACACGCCAGTGTCTAAAATGCCACCTCTATACACGTGTGAACACACGCCAGTGTCCGAAAACAAACGGCTATAGGCTTGCCATGTCATCATTACCCAAATTCATTCTAAAATTTCTCCCTCCTCAAAATTTAGCATTTTTTTACATTAAACCCACAAAAAATCTATATATGTATTTTTTGCCATTCCTATGGGCTTCTCTCTCTGTTTCACAACTGAAAAACTCCAGACAGTATTGAATTGTTGCATGCTGTGATGGCTCAATTACTGTCTCCAGTGTGCACAGACCCCCTCAAATTTCAAAACCCATTGCACAGTTTATGTTCAAGAAGCAGATGGAGCGGTGTTAGTTGGAATATGATGGGCCATGGTGGTAAACGAAGAGGCTTTGGCAGAGTCAAGGCTGTAGCCCCGGGCTCGGCACCATCGGAGGCGATTGCTGACGATTATTATGCTGTATTGGGTCTGGTATCACTACAACTCCTCTAATGATATCTTCCTGGTCGTTTGAGCTTTATTAATTTCTTCCTTGTTTACTTGTTATGCGTATAGTTGTAGTATATTAACCAACTCCTTAACAATCTTCATTCATTTCAATATGAACAACAATTCAACAATGTTTATTGATCAGAATATAATAAATGGAGAACAAAGGAATACATTGGGAATAGGTCGAACTACCGCATTTCTATTTGATACATGAATTCAAATTGAATTGAAGGGAAATGAATGTGATACCCCAGAATAAAGTTTGATTTGGATTCCTAGTTCTATATATTTATTGTTGACGAGCTACAACAATTGCACCTATTAAAGCAATTAAAAGAATTATTGAAATGAGTTCAAATGGAAGCAAAAAATCTGTTGATTAATGAATCCCAATTTTTTGACTATTACTTATCATATCTTGCTCTATAATTTGATTTGATTTTGTACAAGTCTTTTTGTTTCACTAATGACTACTATTCTAAATACGCCATGGCACGGTATTATATTCTAATCCTAAAATACTATGACATTTTTAACTAAAAGTTCTAGCCAAGTGACCTAATATATCCGGCCATCTTCGATTTACTTTGACTTTTCCAAATAGGAGATCAAGGGGTGGCAAAAATTAATTTCTTATATTTTTTACTTTCATATTTTTAGTTTCCTTGTTTTTCTTATATGTTATGACTTATAAATATACTAGTTGATGCATAGGTGCGTTGCACGTGAATTATTGTCAATATAAAATCCTATATATTAAAACCATGATCCACTTTTTAGCAAAATTACATCTTTGATAAGCATTGATGAATAATTAAATAAGAACCTTGTTCGGTAAGAAAACACAAAAAACTATTAATTAAAATAATATTTAAAGTTGGTACAAATGCATTGTTTTGCATTCCACCTTATATTTCAAGTTTTTGCATTTTTTGTTACATTCTTGTTTGCAAGCTACTCCATCATTTTGAAGCTCTTACAACATAATTAGAGAAACATTGTATATTTTTACTAAATGAAGCTAAATCAACGATCATATGCGAGTAGGCACCTTTCCGCTTAACAAAATGGGATGATTTTGTTTATGACTCTAATAAAAGATATGTGAATTTATCAAAATTGGCAAATACCCAGGTGAGAAGCATAATATAAAATTAGGTTCTAATGTCCTTTGTATATGTTGACTTTGAAGACTTGTATTCACACATTAATACTTAGATAATGTTAAATATTTAGGTAAGCTCATTTTATTTTCTCCATTTGTTATAAACAGACTCTAAAAAGAAATGACTTATTTTTCATAGTATTTATTTCTCGAAGAGAAAATGAATTTTATAGGTTACTTTAGTCGAATTAGACAATGCCTTCCATGGAAAAAAAACATAAAACAACATTTTCTATTTTCCATTTTAACACAAACATTTTAGTCATTCCAAAATCAATTTTAGTAGACATTATTGAGTAATTTCAAATAAATTTCCAACCTAAACTATATTCCATAAAGAGCTGTCTTGGAAAGAATTAAACAAAAGATAAGCCCAACTCTTAATTCAAATCTTCAAGCATGGCAAAAATATCAATTCCACTAATATTAGGTTGACTAAAATTGACACAAAGCATAATTCTTGAACAACATGCACCTTTATAGTTTTATCAGATAAGGCAAATCAAATCAACGCATAGTAATATCGGATTCATCATGTAATCTTTACCATGACTGACACCTACACATTCTAACAATCATATTGGATACCAAATGCATAGAAATTCTTAAATTAGCAAGACAAGTTAATTTTTTTAACGGGACCCACTCATCCAAGGATCCCTGTTCATTTAGGATTCAAAGTTAGTATTTTCCTTACTAAATTCCTCGATAAAATTTCATGATGACTGACATCTATCCAGCACACTCCCAACACCAACATTTTCCAAATAAAATCTCAAGAACTAAACTCATAGCATGGAGAAACAACAATTATGAACATGACATCATGCTTCTTTGTTTCTTTATTCTCCTATTTGGCTATGTTGCATCCCAAGCAAATTGACTAGAAGACTTCTTTAATATCAATCTCAACTTCTTTTTTATGATAACATTGGTTCTTCTCATCCATCCATCAATTCATTTGAATACTTCTTTTAAATTCTTGAGTGTGGACCGATGATTTGGCTGGTATTATTAATTTTGACCACATGAATATCATTCATTACTTCAATCACTTAAG